TTTTGTGTTTTGATAATGTAAGTTTCAGAACGATATAATGGGAATTTATATTCTCGATTTCGTTCTAGTTCAAGATTAAAACTTAAACCAAAATGTAAAATCTACTGTCTTTTGGAGCGAATCTTTTTGACTTTCATGCATCACAAGAAATCCTCAAGTATTTTCTTTCTGGACGAATCTTGTTCATAGCTGACTATGTGAGTTTTCGGGTTAAATTCTCTTTTTATTTACAGAACAGTTAGAGACTATTTAACCATTTGTTCGAGGGGTACTTCGAGTGCTCGAAAATATGCTTTCGATGGGCTCCTGCCGAGGGCTCGAACTCTCGGAAAGTAACACTTCGGACCCTGGATATAAGCTTTCGAGGGGTATCGATTTCGAGCCCTCAGATTTCAGATAGGTAGCGAGCTCTCTAGCAAAATTTCGGGCCATCGAACAGAAATATTCGGAACTTTCCATCGCACGCCTTGCTCGTCCGGGGGACTCAAAAGGTTATATCGAAGGTTCAAAGTATCATTTTCCGAGGATTCGAGCTCTGCATGGATACACATTACACGTCTTGAATACATCCACATCTCCAACAAATAGAATAGAAAAACTAAAGTAACTGAATCAGAGCTAGAACAGCAAGGTCTGAACAATAATATGAGCATAGAAAAAGAAGAAATAACTAACTAAAAACGAAAGAAGGTGAAGTGATTCATCATCACATGGCGATAGAAAAAGCGAATATTTGATATATGTCTGGTGTACAGGTCATGGGTACTAGGGATGGCATTTTTTCGTTTCTTTCCCAAACAAAGAAAAGTAAAAACTGACTTTCCTTTCTTTTGGGAAAGGAAAGTTTTTACTTTCCTACTACTCTTTCCCAAAAAGAAAGAAAAGGAAAGTATGATATAACTTTCTTTTGTGTTTTTGTATATGAAGAAAGAACTTTGATGCAAAACCAGGCTAGGTATGCACCGGTTTCGATTTGCAAATCGGAAAACCGACACGAAAAAATCAACGTTCGGTTTTAACCCACACCGAAAAAATTTCCAACATTTCTTTTTGGTTTAAAATGATATGATGAGTTAACACATAACATCTATTTACTATGTCAAAGAAACATCTAATTTGATCTGTACCAGTTTCGGTGAACCTATAATCAAAAGAGTCAAACCGCTAAAACCAAGAAACGACACACACAAGCCTACATAATCTCTTTAACAAACGAATTTATTATCTCGTACGTGTCTTTCGGTGGATGGAGTATACCATATGTTTCTTCATCTTTGTTATGTCTTGCGATTTCTGGAGATACATATAGGCAGGTGTGAGTTATGAAAAACTGGAAATAACCGACAGTTAACCGAATGGTTATGCAGTTACTGTGGTGCTGTAGAAACAGAACAATGATGAATTTCTTCTCAAAACCTATCGGTTATAATCGGTTACTGGGCAGTAACCGATATAAGCGGAAGAACCGGTACATGCCTATAGTTACATAAGATCGATCACATTGATTCAACGTGACCGTGACATGCATTGGCATGAGAGAGGACAAGAAGGCTAAGAGCACCATTAATTTTCTCTTGCACCCTTCTTCCAAGAAAAACAGTATCATCTACGAAAATTTCTTTAATGTGACAATGCTCATTTTTTCCCGTGTGGGTTTAAACGTCGATTTTCGAACGTCGATTTTTTCGGTGTCGGTTAACTGACACCGGTGCATACCTAAACCAGGTTCATGTTCATGATCAGCATCAAAAACTGAATTAAGTGATATGTTTTGCGAAAAATATATTTTCGGAAAGTTTTTTGTAAAACACATCACTTGTTTCAGTTTTGTGCCACGCCTAATAATAACAGAGAGAGACATATCGTATGCAAATGGTTTCAGAAAGCTTAAGATATGTCCTAAATTTTTTTCTTTCAGAATCAACTCTTCATCTTGTTCTGCGTTTACGCGGTGGTCCTGGTGGCGACTCTGATTTTGGTAATACAAAAAACGCTAACAGACAAAAAGCCACAGATGATGAAAGCTACGAATCGTTGGATGCTTCTCAAATAAATGGTTTGGCAGAACATGTTATCTACAATCTAAATTCACTTACAACCATACCAGCTAGACAAAGTGCACTAGTTACCATTGATAAATGGTCTGTACATGGTGAATTAGTCTTGTATTACGATCCAAAGATAAATGACCTAAACGCGATTCGAGCTGTTCATTTGTTTAACGATACTGGAAGTGTATTGGCACCAGGATCAGTTGCTGTATTGGATGATGAGCGTTTTGTTAGTCAATGTCAGTTTACTCCCATGCTCCAAAAAGATGATCAATTAATTAATTATGGCTTAGATACAACAATTGCAGTTATAAAAACATTACCATCTAATTTACAGGATATAAGTATTCAAAATGTTGAAATAACTTATTCTCAATCGGATGATAATTCAACAACGGTAAAACCTATTGGCATTACAATACTACAAAATCATACGAAACGAACAAAATATCAGATAAAAAATAATGCTGTCGATCGTCGTGTGGAAAAATTTTATGTTGATCATAGTGCCGACGCATCATTAGGCGGTTACATTGTAACAACCACAGACAATTGTATCAAATCGGTGATGGGTTTTTCGCGTTTTCAACTAAGTTTAGATCCACAACAAGAAGTCGAATTAATCGTTACAGAAAATGCCACAAATACAAAATATGTCTATTATTTGTCTGACTTGGAAACATTTTTGGAAAAACAAGCAAATGAACTTCAGCAATTGAATATTTTATCTAAATCAACATTAGAACTTATTCAGCGTATCGTCAAATATAAATATATTGATAGTGCACTTGATTTAATGATAAATAATAATGAACAAAATATATCTGAAATAACTGTGCGTGATTGGCAAAATAAGAAAGATTTATTACCAAAACATTTCTTGGAACAAGTATCAACAATATTAGATATACAAAACCGAGTAAAAGATATGGGTCAACAAATTGATTATTTAAATGAGCATATTAAATCTATATTTACAAATCAAGAACGTCTAAGAGAAAATATTAAATCGTTGGAAAAAATGAACACATCAGATCTATTGAAGCGATATTTGAAAGATTTAAACATAGAAGAAGATGATTTAGCCGAAACAAGAGCAGAAATAAAAGCAATGGAAAATTCTAAAAATGTATTGATCAAAGATTTAAAAGAAAAATGTTTCAATTTAAAAAATGAAGCGACGGAAGAAAAGAAAAACTTGCGTGTTTGATTAACTATTTCGCAGTACAATTTCTTAACGAGTCGCTCTTTCTGCATTAAACCACTTTTATATGTAAACCAGAACAACTATTTCATTTAATTACCTAATTCTTCTGTAAGGTTATTTCTTTTTTATTATCTCTTCTCCACTCGTCGCGTGATGAAACACTTAACGTATTGATTATGGTATTTTTAGTCAGCTCATTCTTGGTTTTTTTCTTTATGCAACAAGTGTTGAAATTCACATATAAATTAGAATTAGAATCAACGATTTGTGTAACTACCGGAGTTACAAGAAGCCGCTAAAATTATAGATTTGGGAAACAGATTCGAGAATAGTACCAGATGGGCCAGAATAAATGAGCGAGGATCTCAGTGTTTTCCTTATATCTAGGTTTGGGTTTGTTTCTGAGACTCTATGTTTTTCTTTTAAAGATGCGCTTTACAATACTCTACAAAATTATACCTAAACTCTAATTTCAGAAGTTCAATCAAGAAAACAAAGCCAATTAGATGGAAGGCGAAGAAAATCAAAAATTTGCAAAATCAAAAATGGTTTCTTGCGTTAACGTTTTAAAAGTAAGGAAAACTAAATTAGCCATTTTGTAGTCCTGACTTCCCTCTATCTTTTAGCTACACTTAAAATGTTTTCACATCAAAAGTCACGGCGAAATAATAGTTTTCTGTTGATTATCGTGCGTTTTTTCCTTAATTATTTAAGTTTTGAGTATTCTTTCAGTAACACGCCCATAACTCCATCAAAATGAAAGCTTTTTCGGTCGGGTTTGTTTTGTTTTGCTCAGAAATGATTGTTCTTCTCTATCTAACTGCAAAACCACAACTTCAGTTATGTTTTTCGTGTCTTGCTTGAGTAAATTGGTGGAAACGGGAAGGTTGTCAAATTTTGACGTATTTTTGTAACTTCGTTTCATTTACCTTCTGCGCAATATTTAATCGGCACATTTCGATTCACCTTTTACAGGACATGGATTGATGCTTCTGTTATTAAAGGCTACCTTTCTCGCTATCTGCAACAAAGGCCGTCAGGTACATGTTTGAAAGGAAGCTGCACTGTAAACCGTGATAGTCGTCTTAGTGATCTGGGGTCAGACGCTTTACCGATATAGTTGACAAGTTTGAGATTATGCCTGTTGCATCAACAGTTCCACTCATCGAAGTGGGATTGGTTCCAGCATCACAGTTCAAAACTTTGCCGATGTGAACGAAATATAGAAAATTCTTCAGGAAAGTGATGAAAATTAGACAATTAAAGAAAATTGTAATAACGATTTATGTGCTAAGCGAAGCACTTTTAGATAAAATAACGATTATATTTTTAGATAAAAACGATATATATACTACGTAATTTTTTTCGTTTTATAATGCTCTTGTACAGTATTTGTGGTGTATTCTCAAAAATGGTTGCATGAGTAACCGAAACGTCGAATAGTTTCAATTAGATAAAAATTATTATGATTGCTACTGTAATAAAAAAAGATATACTCTACATTATTGGCTCTAAACAGATCGAAATCGGACGTGAAATAAAAACGTTTTTCTCGCTGGTGGCGAGGCGGGGGACCTTAAAGATTGCATCAACCTTATGTCTGTCTATTTTTTTCTTGTATGTCACTATGGCTTTGTTCGTACAGGAAAGCACACACTCATCCGTTGTTGTTGTTAGCTCGCGCATAGAGTTAGTTAGTTGACAGACCAGTTAGTGGTGTTCTTATTTCATGTTGTTACTGTTGTTGTGGTTATTTTCAAATATACTATATATATTGTATGAGTACTTAATTCAACTGTGACTGTTAGTGTCTCACATAGCTGAAGAACTCGGGCTTAGTGGCCAGTAGTAGTTGAGAGAAAGACTAGTAATGACAAAAATGACTGTTATTTGAACAATTTTGTCTGACCTTTCAGGATATACTGCAAAATATCAGCTTATAAATCAGTTAAAAGTAGTAATAATGCTCTGACGAACATGTTTTTTTATTCCAGTAAGCCTAAATTATAAAAGGACATCGAAAACTTCATAAACAAAAGTCCTTTTTCTTTGCTGAAGTTTTCATTAAGAAGTAGATAGATTCACTTATACAATTTTGGCGTAATAAGCGCTATACAATTCCTCAGACCATTATTCACACTTTTAATTGATTCATTAGTTGATTCTTTGCAGCAAGCTTATATCCTGAAAGAGCAGGCAGAATTGTCCAAATAACAGCCACTTTGCTTTTTGTTTAAGCTTTCTTTAAGTAGCAGAAAGTATAACAGTTTGACGTAGATCGGCGAACGGAGCACTTGATGCAAGTGGTTTTTTCAAACATGAAATATTTTTACATTCTTTTTCTCCTTGTCAGAAGCGCCACAATAGTTTCAGAGGAAAATTTAATATGGTGCAGTAGAATGAATATTTTCTTCGGATATAGCAGATTCATTGTTTAAAAAATCGACTGTTGTTCCTCTTTCTTTCTCAAACTGTTCATTGTTAATCATGTACTTTTCATTCTTAAGAGGGCCACTATAGATAAAAGCCTCCATTTGCAGCATTGTATTTTTTTATTGCGCATTGTAAAATGCGCAATAAAAAGCCTAAGCTCCTAAGTACATCTTCTCCTTGTCTTTCATCAATGCCGGTCATTGACAAAATTATCACTGGTTCTCTCATCCTTTTCTTCACTATCGCCATTTCCATTGATTGTATCAACCCTTTTGCTCCAGTAAATGAACGTGTTCTACATGAGAACACGTCAAAATGGCAATGGCAACCACAATTGGCTTTCAAACTCTTTTGTTGGTGGTGCAACAATGTTGATCCTATTTTACTTTCCAAAAGTTATTTGGTCAAATATTTCACAATGCTTTCTCCAGTCATATTTGCTCCATTTTATTTGGTCGGAATACATGCTATTATTACAGAAAACAATAGATTCGAATATCAACGCTCATTTATTCATTTATTTTATCTTTGGATTTAAATTACTTTTTCTACGAAGCAATTTTTGGAGTTGAAAAATGTAAAAATTTGTTATTATTTACGTTGGGATATGGATATTATCAGATTTTTCCATTAATTTTGATTTATTGATTTTGGTCTAAAAATCCTTTTCAAATTGGATTCAGTCAAATTAAGAAGGATTAAAATGCCACTATAAGATCTTGTTCAATATGTTCGTGGTTTCTGTGCTGTTCTACTGCAATTTATTATAAATTAGTTCTATATCTGCTAGTTTCCAATAAAGAAAATATGGACCTCCACAGGTCCTTTTATTATATTAAAAGTCCTCAGGAATTAGTTTCCTGAGACGAAATTAAAAAAAACAGAAAATTTCGGGCTTCTAATATATGTGAACGCGCTAGAAGAACAAAAACAGCCTAAAAAATCCCAGGTCGTAAATAGTACTCGATGGCTTATCATGCGTTAAATCAGCATCTGACACCAAAAATGTGTCCGAACGCATTATTTTGTCTAAAAATGGACAAAGTTAAGCTTCGGAAGGCTTGGAATATGTCACAAGAAGGCTTTCGAAGTCTACAGATATTAGTTCGCATTAGAAAATGCGAAGGCGTTAAAACGAAGGCATCTAATGCGTTTGTACGAGTGCGATGCAATTAGGCATGCACCTGTTGCTGTTAACAGAAACAGTTCGTAACAGTAACAGTTCACAACACAAACAGCCACTTGTTATAACACTTGACACAAGCGATGCGTGTCATTTCCATCAAAAATGAATGCAGATACATTTCGACGTAAAAGAAAAGGTTTTGAATTTTAAGTGGTCAAGGAAAAGTGCAGTAGTGACTTTGTAATTTGGCGGAGCATGCACTTTCGCCAATGTAAGATTATGTAAATCGATCGTTTTTCAAGTTAAACTATATGTGCTATAAAGTTTTTTCTAAAACTATAAGTCAATGGTAGTGACAAGTAATAGTAAGTTCTTTCACCCGTGCACGTTCGCCTTAAGAAACACAATACAAAATGACGCCACCGATCATATGTTAATGGATTAGATTTCGATCAAGTTGAACGTTGTGGAAGTAGACACTTCGATGACTAGCATAACTTATCTGCAATAATGTTTAAGTTAAATCTCTAGTCTTTGATTGTCTCTCATTAACAGCTATCATATGCTATAGTGTTTCATATGCTACGTAAGTGCATTGAAACGTCAACTCTTCTGCGATAGGTAAGAAATGTAAAGACGCTGTCTTTGATTGTAGGTAATTGATTATAATAATTGTGTAGCAGATGGAAAACATGGTAAAGTTTTCAGGAGAAAACGGTTTTGGTAAGTCTGAAGCTTGCATTTTTATTGCAATGAGGAGTTGTGGATGAGTGGAGGATGAACTGCACGACTTTTATAGGAATACATTGCAAAAAAGGTAGCCATCATTTAGATTCTAAGTAATGTCCGCATCAGTTAGGTCAATTGATATGCTTTTATCGCAAACGACAGGATGCGTTGAAACTTGATAGCCTGACCACATTGCATCAGTTAAATAAATGAAATAGATTTACAAACGTCAATTAGGCTTTCGAGGAAGGGAGAGACTTTGTCCTTAGAAAAGAGGCGTTTTTAAACCTTGTGCTTTTCTGTTTTCTAAAATGTTTTTAATTTTTTTGGGCCCTCTCTTCTACTGAAACCAGTTGGCGAACCAACTCAGCAGTAACGATAATAGTGAAAGAGGGCCTTTTAAGCTTTTTAGGTCCTCACACAATCAATGTCTCCTGGATCGAAGGAAAACATAATCGCCTTTTATCGGCTTGTCAACATTAGCAATGAAATTAAAAAAATGAGAAACTTTTAAATCTTATCTTTAAGAAACACTAAATATGAGAGATTATTTGCTGTCAAACAAGCTCTCCCTTTTCTTCCAACAGAACCGGCAACCAAAAATGCAGATTCTCAGGAAACACTGGTTCCAGGAGTTGTTAAGTATTTCGATGCTAATTCTTTAAGTAATGGCAATTCGTCTCCGTGTTTCGACCAGAAGCTTAGCCGTTCCGATTTTAATGCAATAGCATTTTGTTTATGTGCCATACTACTGTATAAGGCTATTTCACCTGCGATGGAAGTAGGTTTCGATTCCGATGAATTTTCTTGTCCCGTTAGTCTTAAAAACCATTTCATCGGATCTTTAGGTTTTCGAGATGACGTACTGCCTTGTGTAGACGACGACGACGAACTTGTATTAGTTGTAGCATTATTAGCTGTCGTCGTAATTGGTGGTGGAACTGTATTGGCGTTATCCGATTGGCTTTTTGAAATACTTTTTATTTCTCGTTCTAAGACTACTTTTTCTTGCGTCGTCATGTTCGAATTAGGAACAGTGCACCTAATTCGAGCCAGACGACTCATCATCCAACTTCCGGTAAGAACTCACTCAGTTTTGATGATCAATAGAAAATTTTTACATCATTTAACTCGCGAGATGATTTTACACTTTGTAATATAAAAAGGAATGTAAGTTGTTCAAGAACGTTTTGAGCAAGAATTAAAAACTTTTAAGGACGGCTTGTACAAGCGTGATGCTGTGACATTTTTGACACAGTAATTTGAACTGTTTTCAAAAAGTGTAAGAACTAGAAACTTAGCTATTGCGCCATTCGACGCAGCTCGGCATACTCTGCTTTTGGTATTAAAATGAAGGTATATGGTTAAAGACTTGAATTTTTAGGATCGTTTTTAACGCGTGACGCTGTGACAAAAAGGGTCCTAAATTCGAAAGTCTTCTCATTAAAAGCTAATTTACTGCAAATTTAGAAGAGCTAATAAAAAGCGTATCAAGCAAAGTTTATAGAGGCGTAAACGAGCTATTAATTGTTAAAAAAGAATTTTTCTAATGAGCTTTCCATCCCTCAATAATTGTGTTTTATCGTCGTGACGCTGTGATACACTTTTTTCCCAACAAAGTTTGGAGCACTAAACATTGCTTAAAGGGTTTCATTTTCACATCGGACTTAGATTTAGGCATCTAATTTAGACTAACGTAAAAATAAAGCTGAAAAAATGTTTTCACTTTCTGAGAATGTTAAAACTTAAAACTTTATTAAAAAGCTCGTTTTGAGCCTAAACTTCAAAAGAAACATACTATCTTGTAGAGAATCGAATTCTCTATCGATTATTTCTATTCTTCTATTTTTATTTGGAAAAGCGTCTAGGTGAGGAAATTGAAAATATAGTTTTCAAAAAATGTAAAACTGGACTTTGGTGCCAAAATTTAACTTTTTTACAAAAATAATGTGAGATTCGTAATCAGCACCAAAAGCTGCATCTAGTGATACGCTCCTTTCAGTTCTACTCTAAAATAATTTTTTCAAAAACTTGATTAGCGAAGTGTCGAGTTACGTGAACAAGCCGACTAGTCAAAAGGCGGTTCAAATTAGGAACAATCGTTCTAATGATGATGAATTAAAAATAAGCACCCTTAATTTATAACAAACCTTAATTGCAAAATAAAAGAAAATATGGTTCTATTTAATTTCGACAAAAAGAATTTCGCCATCTGAATTTCGACAATGTCCAAATTCTAGTAGAATTTTGAAACATGCCGAAATTCTACTAGAATTTGGACAACGTTGGCGAATTTCTACAATTGTCAAAAT